GGGCATTGCCAACCTGAGCCTCTTCCCTGACACCAAGCTGCTCGAGTTCCTGGACGTGCAGAAGTAAGCCTTCCCTCCTTGCCGTGTTTGCCAGGGCCCGCGTGCACAGAGGGTACACACGGAGTTCAGTGGTCGTTAGGAGAAAAGGGGATGGTGTTCATTGGCTCACGTATGCACAGAGTTCTAGGATTATGCTGGTGTTGCTAGCTTCAGGCCTGGTTGGATCTAGGTACTTAACTGCGTGGTAAGGGAAGCAACTTCTCTTTCTCTCTTGATGTATCTCTGGCTCCCATTTATGGTGCCAAACATGGTACCAGCCACTCAAAGTTTATACTCCACCAGCTCCATCCCCCACTGTGCTCCAGGTTGCTGGTGTCCCCTTCCTGACAGCTCTGGCTGAAGTCCCTCACTGGCTTGGCTTGGGTCTTGAGCCTGCCCCCAGATGTTGGCTGTGGCCCACATTGGCCAGTCTACCTCAACACCTACTACTGGGGCTGGGGCGAGGTGTCCTGCTCCCAGCAACTGGACTGAGAGTGGGGGAGGGGAGGTCCTCAAGGGGAAACTGAGGACTGTTCTGGGAGCAGGTCCCTTTTACCCTCAGTTGCTAAAACATCTTTTCTCCTCAGTGCGCCTTCTGATCCACTGATGCTACAAGTCACCACCCGCCCGATGGAGGGCATGGGTGCTCTCTCCGCCCCACACCCGGTCTCCCTTGTCACACAGCCATGATTGCTTCCCACCCCCCGCTCTGAAACCCTGTTTCCCCTTCCACTGTGAATGTCTCCTGCAACTGACTAGTCACCAGCCCAGAGACCTGGGTGCCAACAGCTTCCCAAGTGTCCCCTCCTCCCCACCCCCTCCTGCTGCCTCTGTGCTGCCTCCTCCATGCTGGCCTCCCTGCTCCAATGTCTCCCCAGGTCCCTGCCCTGTGCTGCATTGCATGGCACCCACGTCCCTCCCCGTTCACCAGCCTGCCCCAGCTCACCAAGCCTCCAGAACAGTCTCTTCCGCTGTCATTCTCTGGCCCAACCCCCGGGACTTTGCTCACAGGGTCCCTTGGCCTACCGCGCTGCCCCTCACCCCTATCCAAGTTTTGGGGCACTGTCTTCTCCAGGACTCTTCCCAGCCTCCCCTTGCCCTGTGGACCATCGTGGACCCTGAGGCCATCTCCTAAGCTCAGCCCTGCTGGGGGACATGGTGTACAGGGAATTTGCCCTCTGACCTCAGACCCTGCCCCCTCTTCCTGGTAAAAGTTCTGTGTCACACTTGTTTCATTTCAGGCACCTGTGGCCCCTCAAGGACCTCACGCTGACAACCAATCAGGTGAGAAGGTGGGTCCGTTACCTGCCCCAGCTAGGGGGAGGCCTGAGCCTTGAGCGGGGCCCCCAGAGTCTGTTCAGCCTTCTGAGCAGCCCTCCGCCTCCCTGCTACAGAGATGCCCGGGCAGCACTGGCCAACAGGTGTTGGGGGGAGACACTGGCTTTCTGGGTTGTTCTGATCTCCCGTGTGGGGGAGGGGGCCGTTGCTGGCCCACCGTGAGCAGGTGCAGGTGCAGACCCAGGCTCCACCCCTCTTCTTGGCTATGCAGCTGTGGGCAGGAGCCTCAGTTTCCCCCCTGGATGAGAGTAGTCGCTGCTGCGGTGTTGGTGCCCCCTCATGGGAGTGTTGGGAGGGGGTGGTGGGCCGCTCCACACAAGGTGGTGGCTCTCAAGGTGTATGTGCTGGGCCAGCAGCATCTGGGAAGCCTTTAGAAAAGCAGATTCTTGGCCCCCCGCCCCCCACCCCAGACATAATGAGTCAAACTCAGAGAGCGGACCTGGACTCTGTGTTTCGACAAGTCCTTGGGTTGGAGTGCCGCTGACGTGGGTACCCACCCCCCGTGGTACCCAGTGGCCGTTGGGATTGTTATCTTCCTTCCCAACCTCCTGGAGACCATTATCTCACGTTACAGTTGAGTAAACTGAGGCTCATGGTAGAGCTGTGACTTGCCCTGGGTCACTCTGGGCGGGGCTGTCCTGGAGCCAGTGTTGGGGAGTGGTGGGGGGCAAGAGCTCTGGCCCTGGGAGGGAGGGGGTAACAGGGCTAGGGGGACCGTGGCCTCATCCATCTGCCCCCCCAATGCAGAGGCTCTCCCTGGTCAGGGACAAGTGCTTCCTGTCAGCCACTGAGTGTCTGCAGAAGATCATGTGAGTCCACGCCCTGGGCAGGGTGCTTGGCGGGGGGCAGGAGTGTGGGGGCCCCTGGTTGGGGCTGAACCCGAGGGCCTTGATCTGGAGCCCGCCGCCCTGCTGCAGCACCACGGTGGACCCCAGGGAGAAGCTGGAGGTGCTGGAGAGGACATACGGGGAAATTGAGGCCACCGTATCACGTGTGCTGGGCCGTGAGCACAAGCTGCCCATGGACGACCTGCTGCCGCTGCTCATCTACGTGGTGTCACGTGCCCGGTGAGCCCCAGCTGGGCTGGGGGTTGGGGGGTGGGCTGCGGGAGGACCGCACCTCCTATCCTGCCCTGACCCCCAGCTCAGACCCGCTCAGAGGTCTTTGAACATTGGGGTTTATGGACACAGCTTTTCTTGGTACGGAGTGGGGGTCTGAGGCCAGAGAAGCCCCACCTAGGGTCCCGTGGTTGGCCAGGAGCAGAGCAGGGACCACAGCCCAGGTGTCCAGCCACCCAGGCCAGGGCTCCTTCCCCGGCTGCTTGGTGCCTGTCTCCGATGGGCCCCCTTCTCCCTCTCACTGTGGGGATGGGCGTTCACCAGAATCCAGCACCTGGGAGCTGAGATCCACCTGATCCGCGACATGATGGACCCCATCCACACAGGAGGCCTGTGTGACTTCCTGCTCACGGCCCTGGAGGTGAGGGATAGAGGTGGTGGATGGAGGCAAAAACACCCTGGCCAGTGGTGCAGACGCCTTCCCTGCCCTGGACCCCAAATTCACTGCTTGTATGTGCTTCTGTGGGCGGAGCCCCACAGAGTCCCTGGCCTTGCCCTTGCTAAAGGGGCTGGAGAAGGGCCCCCTACTTCACCCCAGCCCTGGGGTCCCTGGGGCCCCCACATGTTCCAGGCTGCATCCCTGGGCATAACAGGAGAGGGGAGGCCCCCCTTCCTTGCAGACTATAGCTGAGGCTGAGTTGGAGGTGGGTCGGGGTGGTCCCAGGCTGGGGAGACGGGTGCCCCCCGGATATTGGTGTGTCTTTGCATGGGGCCGGGGGGGCTGCCCCTCAGCCTCGCCTCTTTCCCGCCAGTCCTGTTACGAGCACATCCAGAAGGAAGACATGAGGTTGCACCGCTTTCCTGGCCGCTGGGACTCCAGGGAGCCCTGGTAGCTCGGCCGCCCCGGGCCCGCTGCAGAGTGGAGAGGGGCTGCCACGGATTTCCCTGGGGAGCAAGCATGGCCCGGCCTGGCCCTCGCCGCCCGCAGAGCAGACGACAGGCTGGGGCCGTGGAGGTGGCTCTCGGAGGAGATGAGCAGTTAGGGTCTCCCAGGGAGATGAGGCTGCCGCCCTGAGTGCTGCCCACCTGTGACCCTGCAGCTGGGGGCTTCCCCTCCCCCTCCCCCTGCCACTAGGTCAGTCTCGGACCATCTCCTTGACCTGCCTTGGCTCACGGGCTTTTTGCTGCCTGACCCTGCCCGGGCCTCAGCGTTGCTGTCTGTATCCCAGTGGCCTAGATGGTCCGTGACGGACCTTCCACCCATCTTGCTGGATTCTGGAGTCCTTCTGTAAGTCTGCCATTAGTCGGCTGGGGTGAAATCCTCACATCATCGCCGGTGTTGTTCCGTTTCTCCACTCTTGGTCAGAGGCTCCAAGTGGCTAGTGACCGCTCTGTGTGTTGGAACTCTTGTCCATAAGCGGCCTCTTGGGGACCTGCCTCCTTCCCCCCTCCAGGGCTGAGCTGGCCTCTCAGGGAGGCAAGGCTGAACAGACTCCCAGGCCACCTGACCTGCTGGATGGCCTTGGGCCAGGCCCTTCCCCTTGGTGGTATGCGATCGAGCAGGGGCTTGGAGGTCTCTGCCGGGCCCGTGTAGCTGTGGGGTACGTGTCGGCACCGGAACAAGCTGCAGGGCGGGGTGGGGACACTCGCCTCGTTTGCCACAGCTCCTGCGGGCCCCAAGTGCCTGCAAACCACAGGCCTGCGGCCCACGGGCCTGGGCGCAGGAGGACAGCAGAGGCATGGGGCCCTGCAGGGCTGGGGCGGGAGGCCAGGGGGAGCTCAGGTGCCTTTGGGTGGGGAGGACTTTGTGTCCATGGTGGCTCTAGGGTGGGACTGAAAGACACAGGAGCAAGGCCTGGGGTGGCTTCATCCCTGCCTGGCCTCAGTCTCTCCTCCCTGCATCGAGGGGCTTGGATCAGGTGACCTGGAGGGGCTCCCCCTGTCCTAACGGGAGATGTGTGACAGTAGGCAGGGTGACCATGTTTTGAAGGGTCCAGGGGCAGAGCATGGGGAGAGGGTGGATTTACGCAGGGATGTGGCCCCAGAGGGCAAGCTGGGCCCTGGCACCATGGCCATCCTGCCACCATGCCTGGGGTTGTAAGCGAGTCAGGTCACCATTCTTGGCTGTGCTTTCCATAACGGAAGCACTGGCCTCGAGGCCTATGAGGGAGGGGCTGAGGGAGGCTCTGAGAAAGCCCAGTCTCACCTGAGCCCAAGGCTGAATCCCCACCGGGAGCCTCAGGGTGGGGGGCTGCTGGTGGCCGGGGGGGGCACCCACAGACCCTCAGATGACATAGGGCCGTGGGGCAGGGGTGAAGCTTTCTGGGGCTGGTTGCACCAAGCATGGCAGTGTGAATGAAGTCTTGGGCTCTGGTTTTGCCCGAAACCCCCGTGGTGTCCCCCAGGAAGGTCCCTGGAAGGGGGCGGGACTGATGAAGAGTGGGGGTACCCAGATGTCATGGGCGTTCATGCCTCCCCAGGGCTCTGACAGCCCACCGGTACTTCAGTCCTCTTCAGTGGTCATCAGCGAGTTCTTGTCCCTTGACAAGTGCGGACGGACTTGTCTTAAGGTGGCCCTGAGTTGGCGCGATGCTCTAGCCCCACTCCTTCAGGATCTGTGAGCTCTCCCTGTAGTTCACATTCACCAGGATGCCCCCACCCGCCGTCGCTGGGCCTTGTCCACCACCAGCTGAGCTGGAGCCTCAGGACAGGGTCTCGGGAGACCCCGAGGGCAGCTGGGTCTGTAGCAGAACCTTACAGCAAAACCAGAGACAGTGAGGACATTGACACGGAGGTCAGTGTTCATTTGCAGAAGCGACACCTGGAATCATGCTGCCACCTGCCGCGTGGGTGCCTCAGGGAGGCCAATGGAGATGGGTCACCTGCAGGGGCCGCAGCAATGACCTCTCCCACCTGCTGCAAGAGCCCCTTGGCTGCAGTGAGAATATGCTAGCATCTACGTGGGAGGTCAGGCTGGCAACCGGGGACTCCAGCACCTTGGTGAGCTGGCCAATGTCAAAAGCGGCCTGGTGGGGCCTGGCTTGGGTCCCGTCTGCCCTCTGTCCCCATCTGGTCCCCATCTTGTTTTCTGAGATGAGGATTCTCCTTTCAACAATGATGGTGACAAAGTGGTAAAATTCATTATAACTGAACCTCATGATCACCTGGGCCAGAGAGGCGAGAGGCCGGGGGTGGAGGGTTCCTCTTCATCGACAGCCGCAGGCGGTTTTCTGACCGACAGCAAAGGGCCACGCCAGCCCTGTCCTCGGGGGCCTGGATTTGGGGCTGAGAAAGAGACACAGAGATTAAATGGCCTCTGTGTGAGCAGATGTACCTGAGTCACATAGCCCGACCACCCCCTTCCCACTGCAGCCCAGGCCCTGTCTGCAGCCTCTCATGCAACTTGGGTCCCTGCTTCCCCCTGTGCCCCCCACTTCTGCCCCCACCCCTCCTCGTTCTGTGCCCTAGGTGTGTCCTCCTCCAGCCCACTGGGTCCCAGGCTGCTCCATCATCACAGGCCCAGCTCCCATGAAGCCCTTGTGTCCCAAGGAAGGAGCCTCCCAGCTCCTCTCTGGGGCCCATTCCCTGCGCCCGTCATGTTCCTGGGGCATGACAGGTGGGTGCTTGCCCCCTGGCCCTGTCCTCCAGGTACAGTGCTCACTGCCTTTCCCTGGGCTGGCACCGATGACGGTGGGCACTGAGGCTGGAAACAGGTTGACTCAGGAAAGGTCAGACGGGGAAGGGCCGCAGGCTCTAGGGCAGGTCTGCGTTCAAGCCTGGCCAGGGCAGTGTCTGTGAATACAGAAGCCCTTGAGGTGTAACCAGCACAGGCAGGGGCCCACCGTGGAACAGAGGCCTGGCCAAGCTCAGGCCAGGCGCAGACAGGAGGTTGATGCCAAAGCCCCAGAGAAAGGGAAGAAAGGACAGACGCCCTCTCTGTCCCCGGAGCTCAGGTTGACCTCACCTGGCAGCAGTGTGGCTGGTCCAGCAGGTGTCTCCACGCACTAATCTGTTGTAGGGTTGAGCTCCCACTGCAGGAAATGCCAAGGGGTGGCCAGGTTATAGCTGTTGGATGGTTGTTTTTGGTGGAGATGGTGTCCTCCTGAAGGGGAGCAGGGGACAGAGGGCCCCCATAAAGTCCCCTGTAGGGACTGTCTCCCTCACTCAGTCAGCGAGCCTCACGCTCTTGGATGCCAGCCCTCTTCCCTGCATGGGGTACCGTCTGGACCACGGAACAGGTGAGGAGGGCTGGCTCTCCTCCCAGAAAGGTGCCAATGGAAGAAGAGGAAGCCGGAGAAGCCAAGTCTATGGCTACTCCAGAGTGGGAGCTGGGGAGCGACTAGAGGGCCCCAAGTTCTGACCAGGCCTCTATTCAGATCACCCCTGAGGGTGCTGGGAGCCAGGGCACAGCCCAAACAAATCCCTTGCCCACTGCAGCCTGGGAGAAGGTGGTGGGGGTTGGGGGGCAGCGAGAAGGCGCAGGGCTGCTGGAGAAGCTCCAGCAATGCTGTGAGTAAATGCTCCCTGAGCGGGGTTCCCGAGGGAGAGTCACCTGGCCTCATTTGGCAGCTCTCCCAGAGGGAGGCTGGGCACTGGGGAAGAAGTAGGTTCAGGGTCCGGGTCAAGGTCAATGTTAGGGTTTAAGGTTAAGGGCAGAAGCAGGGTCAGTGTCAGGTTAGGGTTAGGGGTTAGGATTGGAGTGAGGGCGAGAGTTTAGAAGGAGTGAGGGTCAACGTTGGAGTGAGGGTTAAAGTCGGGTTCTGGTCAGTTCAGGGTCCTCGTCCAGGTTGGGACTTTACTGGTTGGCCTTGTCCAGGGTTGTGCAGACATGAGCTCTGGCTTTCGTTACTCTTGCTGTGGGCAGGAACTGGGGTGGGGGCCGGGCAGCCAGGGCCTCGGTCTCCCCATGATTGTGGCCCAGTCCTTCCCCTCCCTGGGTCCTGTTTGCTGTCCATAAGAACAGTCGCTGTGCAAGACCACTGTTCTGCCATCCAGGGAAGGAGGGGAAAAGCAGGCAAGAGGTACGGCTGGGACCCTGGGACCCTGGTGCTGTGGAGGTCCCCCTGTCTCGACCCCTTCCAGGTGTGGAGCTCGGTGCGTGTGGGGGGAAGGGCTTGGTTTGACTGCAGAATGGGGCTCAAACAACTAAGTACATTATTCATGACTCACCTGAGGCTGGGGGCTACATCCTGGCCCCCTCCACATCCTGCTGCGATTTGAAACAAACATTCATTCCACGAGGCAGGGCAGGGGGAGAGTGTGGCAGGGACTCCAAACCCATGGGAGTAAGACCTGCTGGCCCCCTGTGTTGGGAAGGGTCCGGTGTCTGGGGACGCCTTGGGTGAAGGCTGCTGGTGGCTGGGGACAGATGAGTCCTGCCCTGGCTTTTCCCTGAGACAGTGACACCTTCCCTTGCTCTGCTGGCAGGAAAGACGAGCTGCTGATCCCACAGGGGGGCGGCCTGGAGCTGGGGCGGCTGTTTCCAGTGCATGGGGGGCTCCGGGTCTATGTGGGAAAGGGGTGAGGACCTTCGAGAAGGGCCTAGCAGTCCTGCTACCCCCTATGCAGTCCTTGGACTGTCACTCTGAGGTCTGCCTTCAGAGGCAAGTGCTCTTCCCCTGCCCCCCCTTACCTGTTGCGGTCCTTGTGAGAAGTGCGGGGAAGGGGAGGACGCACCTAAAAGGAGTGACCTCAATCTCAGGGAGCCACTGCTTCATACAAAGGGGTGCTGGTCATGCGGCCACACCAGGCTCAGTTTCAGAAACCAAAAGAGCATGGGAGAAACCAGGTACAGACCATCAGTTGGTACACCCTCTGTAAATGGTGCAGACCAGCAGTTGCAGGTTGCCTCTGGACTGTCCCAGACACCAGCACAGGACCCTATTAATCACTAATTCATGCATTTCATTCAGGTTTGGCCAAGGGTCTGTACCAGGCTGCAGGCATCCCCAGGGATAAGCGGAGGTGACAACAGATGAGTGGAGAGGAGCTGTGTACTCACCCAGTGATCCTTGCCAATGCCTCCGGGGAAAGGTGACCTCGGTGACCGGGGGGCTGTTTGCGTCCCCTGGGTCCCATCCTGCATGGGGTCCTGCTCACTGCTGGCGAAAGAGTCCAGAAGACACTCGCCGTCTGTGTGCTCAGGGCAGGACGGGAGGGCTGTGTCTTGGCAGATGGCACCGTGGGACTGGACCTTGAGGAATGAAGTTGCCGGATGGAGGGATGGCCTGCCCAGCAAGACAGAAAGGCAGGGACACGGGCTGGGAAGTGGAGAAGGGCCTGGCTTCCCCAGAATGTGGAGGATTGGGAAAAAGTCAAGGAGAGGTCAGGTAAACCCAAAGCGAGAAAGGCTTGCAAAACCAGTGGGGGCCTTTCCCCACATTTCCTGATTTTCAGCCTCCCACGATGTCGTCCTCTGTTCCGGTGATGGTTGTCAAACACCCACCAGTTCTTTCTCCCTCTTGCCATCAAGACATGAAGGCAACAGCCCCTCCCCTTCAACCTTGGCCTTTGACAATGCAATGGGATGGCCGGGCCACTGGCCTTCTGAGGCTGGGTTCCAAAAGCTCCCATGCCCTCTGCGTGTTCTCCTGGACACTTGTGCTGGGAGCATTTCACCACTGAGTGAGAAGTCGGTCACCCTGAGCAGCCATGTGGGGAGACCACGTGGGGACACCAGATTGAGAGAGAGAGAGAGAGAGAGAGAGAGAAAGATGGATGCCTGGCAGACCCAGCTCATGTGGGATCCAGTTGCTTGGGTCTCCCTGCCCAGACCCTGAGCATGTGAATGAGAACACTTTTGGGGTGACTGCAGCCTTGGCCACCGTCTGACTGGAACCTTAGGAGATGCCCCCCTACCCCAAACAACAGCTGCCTAGCCAAGCCAGTCAACCCCAGATTCGGGAGCAAACCACATAACTGCTCGTGTTTCAAGCCACTGTTTGGGGGTGTCTTGGATGCAGTAGCAGATACATAGAACCATCCTTTCTCCATTATCTACTACCCACGTTTCATTACAAACACTTATATGCTTCCTTTTTAAAACCGGAATTTATTAAGATGGGAAGCGTCATATCCCCATTGTATGTGGAAGTCCATCGTCGATGGCAATAAATGGAAGACAATTGTAGACAGCAACACAGGAAACAGAACTACGTGATCAGTTTCTGCGTCGGGACAGCCCCCGGCGTGGGGCTGAGTCTGGCTGGCGGCTTCCCAGCACTCACAGAACCCGTTCCCGAGCCCCCTTCTAAGCCTTGCCACCTGCTGAGATGCACCCCTTTTGGGTTCCTGCCCCATGGGGCCCATCTTCCAAGCCTCTTAAGTTTCACTAGTTTTAAGCCTCTTTCCCTTCTTCCTCCAGCCCTAGGGAGAGGGGCTGCTTTCTGTAATTCTTTGAGAATTCTTGCTTTGCCTTTTCAGTTCTTCAGTTGCTGGGTGTGGTAAGCAGCATCATTGTTGCCCCAAAATAGCAATGACCTAATCCCCAGAGCCTGTGAATTAGTCACCTTACTGGCCAAAGGGACTCTGTAGATGTGATTAAGGATCTTGCAATAAGGAGATTATCCTGGGTTACCTGGGTGGGCCCAGTCTAATCACAAGTGTCCTTGAAAGTGGAAGACAGCAGAAAATCAGAGGACGGAAAACCTCTAGAAGCTGCAAGAGGCAAAGAAATGGATTCTGCCCTAGAGAGCTTCCAGGAAGGAGCACCGCCCAATGAGAGCTATGTCAGATTTCTAACCTCCAGAACTGAAAGATAATGAATTTATGTTTTTAGCCACTAAATTTGTGATAATTTGCTATAGCAGCAATAGAAAACACACAATATAACAGGCGGTCATCCTCCCCGGCCCTGGGGACACACACTCCCACTCCTTCAAGTCCCGCCTGCTCCCTGTCACTCCAGATGGTGGGCAGACCACCCCCCCCCCCGCTTCTTCTGGCTTCTCTGTTAAGCCAAAGTTAAAACAGTGGACAACTTAACCAGCTGTACCACCTCTCAGAACATGGGCTAGAAAACCGATTCAGAAGTGGAGGGTAAAATGAAGTCCTCATGCATGTAAATAAATAATAGATTTGGTGTTGGTGAACAGAATATCCAAGATAGCCCTAAAGTTTCAGGAATTAATGACTGAGGCTGTGCTCCTGATATACTAGACAATATAGAAAAACCCTGTGTTGACTGAGAAAAGAACTATAAATTTAGCTTTGGACCACTATCTCTATTTAAAAAAAAAGTGCTTTATTTTCATGCATCTGTTACTCATCTATTTGAAAGCTGGGAAGTAAATCTCTGCAGTGTTTATTGACTGTAGGATCTTCTACTTTTCAGGGTGTTCTTATCAGGCCTGGGAGGAATAATAATGTAGCGCCCGGGGGATCTCCATGGCCGTGTTGACCTTCCCCTTGGTGCTGTGATGGACAGGGAGGGAGGTGACCCAGGCACTGCAAGAGACCAGCATGCTTGAACTTGGCTTCATGAAGCCCCAGTGATGCTCCCCAAGGCCAAGGATCCCAGGAATCCTTGGACCTAGTAGAAGGCAGTGACAGAGCCCTCACTGCGTCCAGTGATGATGTGTGTAGATGCAGAGTGTGTGTTCATTTCAATGAAAGGAGGAAGAGGTCCCAACCAGATTCTACAGATAGTGACTTGGATCAAGGCACAGATGGGAATGACAGGTGCTCCTGATAACAATCCTGCTTCAGCCTCCTCCTCGGCACAGTTGTCTTGAAAGCGAAAAACCGGTGATGATTTTAGCCAAAACAGGGGAAGTCACCACAGCGAACACAAATGCAAACGTCATTTGTTGAAGTCGGTAGGTGCCTTTGTTGGGAGGGCCAATGAAGAAGAAGGAACGGGAAGCACGGGAAAAGGGAGGTGAGCAGGTTATAGCTGAGAGTTGGCTGTTGGCCTTGACAAAGGGAATGTCTTGGTGCTTCACAGAGATCCCGAGGACCACAGCCAGGGGACCGAGAAGCATACATTTGTGCAGGCTGGACCCATCCCAGTGGGTCTTGATAAGTCAGGAAGGTCGGTTTCTTTGGGAGAGAGTGATCTTGATTTGGGTTTGAGTACTGATGATATGGTATGAAATTTGTCCCTGATTTTCGTTGAAGTGATCAGTGGTACTACCTCGCCTCTGGAAGATACTCAGGGCAGCCTCAGCTCACGGCCTGGCTGGTCTGGATGATGGATTCTCCCTAGACTTCCTCCTTGCATGCTAAGGGGGAGGCTGCGGTTGCTACAGCATTCTGCCAAACCCGGATTCTTCCCTTGGGCCAAGAGGAGCAGTCAATACAGAAACTAAAGGAGAAAGCTTTCTAGGTAGAAATCTCTGACCATTTGATGGGATTTGTTCCACTGGTTTGATCTAGGACCCTGGAGAACGTGGCTGTGGTCAATACTGCAGATTGGCTTCTTCCTGTGGCTTGAAGTCCTGCTCATAGTTGGCGTAGTTGTTGTATTAATCAAACTAAATGAATTTGGCTAGCGTGTCAGTCAGATGAATCCGGTCAAGAATGAATTCTTCTAAATCCTGTGTAAGAGTCTTTCCAGAAAACTATACCATCTTTCCCCTTTGTTTTACTTTCCTCGGTTTTTTTTTTTATTTAAGATTTTATTTATTTATTTGACAGAGAGACAGCAAGAGAGGGAACACAAGCAGGGGGAGTGGGAGAGGGAGAAACAGGCTTCCCGCCGAGCAGGGAGCCCGATGTGGGACTCGATCCCAGGACCCTGGGATCATGACCTGAGCCAAAGGCAGACGCGTAACGACCGAGCCACCCAGGTGCCCTTTCCTCAGTTTTGTCGTCTGCCTTCTTCATATCATTCCCTCTTCTTGTCTCGAGTTCTGTCTACGTAGACTCAGGAGCTGTCCTGCAAGACAGCCTTCTGGGGCTGGTAGGATCTGAATGGGGCCGCTATTGTGACCACGGGCATGGACCACCCATCACTAAAGCCTCTCAAGGTATAAGTGTATAGTTATGTTTATTATTAACTACAGGCAGAGGAGCTTCAGAGCACAGGTGGAAAGGTTGTGGTAAGTTTCCAGAAGCACCATACCCTTGTCACGCCCTTCACTTTGGAGGCCAAAAGGAAACACTGGGACAATTATGAAATCCTGAAAACTTCCTGGTCAGGAAGTGGTCTTGTAAAAGGGGGAGGCATCCGAAGCTTAGCAACTGACATCAGCCTGTTTTATGTTGACTGACTTAGACCAGCTGAGCTAGCTGTCTGCTAGAAGGGGGAGGAAGTAAGCCTTGAGTGACATCAGCCCTGCTTTGAATGGGGTGTTATTTAAGACTTTGTCATCAAGCAGTGTGCTTGTGCTATAGGCAAACGCTCCATTCATTCATCCAACAGTTAAGTTTTGTGTTTCATATTATAAGAGTTGTTCCGGACCCTAGGGCTGTACTGGATGCCAAGGCAGCCAAAATTTCTGCCTTTGCATTCAGCCTCTGAACCCACCCTTCACCCTGAGATGGGTCCTAGCCCTTCCTGGCCCTGCGCTAACCTATCTACCCTTTCCCCACAGCCAGACTATGTCACTGGAACCACCCTTCACAGTCTTCTTCCATCTAATTTCTCAAATTCTCCCAAAGCTGGCCTCCAGCCCAGCAGGTGCTTTATCCTGGTGACTCTTTCATACATTAGAGAGGAGGAGGCCGTGTCAGCTCACCTCCAGGGAGTCAATTTTTCCAAAAGGCAGCAATTGGAACTATTCAGATCTCTGAGAGGATACCGCGCCAATGGGGCAGAATGAAACCAATGGGCTTCAAGGCCCGAGTCATCCTCTAAAGCTCTTTTTGACCTTGAACAAACGAATTCTATGTGATACCTCTGTTATTTTCCAGGAACAAAACCAGGTTCCATAGCAACATGTTTTCTGGAAGAGAATTCCAGTAGAGCTTTAAAAATGACAAGTTACATCCATACAGGTGGATGTGAAAATTTGACTTTATGTATCAGTCCTACGAGAGTAATTTCATTCTGCTTGTATTTATGTCTGTTACAAAAAAGCATCTAAAACACTTATAACCAAAACATACAATCAGTAAAAATCCCTTCAGTACAGATTCAGCCTAAGAATAGGATATAGCCCTACAAGTTAGCAATTGGATGTATTTCAAAAGATAGACATTTTGGGGCGCTTGGGTGGCTCAGTTGATTAAGCAGCAGACTTGATTTCAGCT